TGGTTTTACGCCACACTGCCGACCCCTTGAGAGAGAGAAGTGGTGCGTCGATGGGTGTGTGTTGGGGGTTTCTGTGGGCTCCTCCTGAGGTTTTCGGCTGGTTGGGCACGTCGATGATCGAGACATTGGTGGGGTCGTATTTTGTGGATGGAGTGTGTGTGTGTGTGTGTGTGTGGAGTTTTCTCGGCTGTCGAGCGGCATTTTGCGTGATCGCACTTTGCTCAGGGGCCGTCATAGGGCCTGTTCGCACGGTCTTGGTATCTTCTTGGGCCGCACAACGCAGGAAGAAGATGCCCTTCCTCCCCTTCCCCACGTGCCTACGCCTACTACTCCCTCCTTCCCGCCTCTATTATCTGCATCCCGATCGTTGTCATCTTGCTCCTCCTCCGCGTGCTGCCTCCTCCGTCCCGCTCGCTCAGTGCTATTGTTTTGTCCTGCCTTTTCTCCTGTCCGTCGCGCGTTTCCCGTTTCCAAACCGTTTCTTTCGTGTATGTATGGGTGGTGCAGAGCGAGCGCAGGCGGGGGGGGTCACGGCAGCAGCGGGATGTATCTTCGCGAAACCGCTCGAATCGGAGTGGGGTCGGCGGCGCGGCAAAGGTGGGGTGGATAGGCCTTTTGGAGTGGTGAATGTTTTGTTCCGTGGCAATTATTATCTGTTGGAGCCTCCGAGTGGCGCGCCGCTGAACGCGACCTGGACGTGTTGGGTTCGAGAGGCGAGGCCGTGCGCGCCGAGCGCGGGTGAGGGCCATGGCCGTTGTATATTTTGGGTCGAGGGCAAGGGGTCCGTTGCAGGAGTGACGGAGCTAGTGGAGTTCAAGCGGCAGAAGAGCAAAACGAGTGGCTCTTGAACGTTCAGGACGAACTCCGGCGCGGGGATCTCAGCGAACGAACGCGCCAGTTTTCACATGGGCGCCCAGCCAACGCACCTGGGTCACGGGCGGGAGACGGCCCGACGCGCGGGCCCGAGAATTGCACGGAAAACGCGGAAACCATCGCGCGGGGCAACGGGCAAGAGTGCGAGCGTTATCAAGTAGAATGGCGAGGGCGACAGCTGATGGCGACCAGCCCCGACAACTAGCGCTTTGTCTTGCCGGAGTTCGCGCGGGCTACAGCCTTCCACCCGAATCGGGACGCAAAGGGCAAGGGGGCCCGATTGGGAGCCGTGGACTGGGTCGCCATTGAGTTTAAGCAAATTTCGCGGGTGTGCGCACAGACGCTGCTCGCCATGCCGCTCACCAGAACCGACCATATATGTCAGCTGATAAGCTGCGATGGCTGGGCTACAACGACAAAGCATGCGCATATATACTGGGGTGGCTGCCGCTGGCGGCGGCCGACAGATAATTTGGATCGATGTGCGAAGCAGCTGCTCCGAGCGCGCGCTGCGACGATTCTGTCGCGGGTTGTGGGCGATGGCGAGGGCGCCGTCGACGACGCGGCGGAAGTGGAAGTGGCGCTTCGGGGAATGCCGAGGCAGATCGCGTTGGATTTCCATGCTGACACGTGGGCGCTGAAGAGCACGCCGGGGCCAGGCTTGCATCCGATTGTCGCGAGGCAGCGGGCCTCGTTCTTGGGATCGCATCGAAAAAAGCCAGTCTTGGGATCTCGACGGAAGCAGTTCTCGATGTCGCCAGGCCCGGCGAGCGCGGCGCACGCGGCGCTGGGTCGGGCGCCGGGGGCTGTCATAGCAGATCTAGGAGAGGGTCGAAGTGTAAGCCGGGCGTCGTGCTACGCGGCAGTGACCCGTGTCAAAACGCGCAGGGGACTATTCATCCACCAACCATGCGCAGTGAAGCCGCATGCGCAGGGCGAGATGGGCGGAACGACTCTGCTCTTGGACAAGTAACGCGGCAAAGAGATCGCGCGGGAAGACATTGAAGAGGGCCCGATGCCGCGGCAGACTCGCGGGAAGCGCAGGCGTCAGAAAGTGGGGGCGGAATTCCGGCCCGCGGAGTTCGAGAGGAAAGTTGGTCCGAGTTTTTGCGGGGTTTGCGCGGAGGTTTTGACAGCAGCAGGTCAGAAGTGGCGCACGGCGTGTGATGACATGGCTTCGGTCGGCCCAAACGCAGGCATAACTGATGAGGGGGGGCGGTCGACAGTCCGCGCGCGCGGGCAAGTGCGATCGATGCGCCGGACCAGCTGCGCGTAGAAAGTCGCGGAAAGAGTCGCATGCAGGGCTTGCCAGAAGAAGCGCAGCAGATATTCCATGTGCGACGCGCGGAATGCCCGGACATTCTGAAGACGGAGGCAGACGCGGCCACAAACCGGCGCGCGACGAGAGGCGCCGAAGTTGGGCCAGACATGCGCGGGCAAGAAGCGCGGCGCGCGGAGCGCGCGGGGCAAGGCCCAGAAAACGGGCGTCTGGAGACGCCTCTGCGGCGCTCGGCGCGCCGGAAGGGGGCGGATGGTCGGGGCTGTTTTTGGCGATCCGAGGGCGCGTATCAGCGGTCCAAGTCCCGCGCGATGACCAGCCAGGGGCGGCGCGTCGCCCGGCAGCGCG